CCTCTCCCCACCTCCTCCCCACCCCCCTCCACCCTCCTCCACTCTGCAGGGCGCGTAAAGATCGCGCTTTTTTTGTGCCGCAGCCGCTGGGAGAATTCAGGTCCCGGCTCGAAACTTCCAGACCCTGCAGTTGTTTTCGCCTTTGTCAGTCTCGATCTTTTGGTTTCCAGAAAGCATTAAATTGAGACTAAGAGGATAGGTCTGATGGAGGAAGTCCGCAGAGATGGGGGAAGACCAAAGAGCAAATGGAGTCCAGGGATAAGAAGAGAGCGCCATAAACAGATCTAATTCTGAGAAGAAGCTTCCGAACCACGGTTACATAAACCTACAGCAAAAGCAGTTACAGTAATTAGGATGGCAGGCTCAGGAGGCGACCTCTAGAGCTGCTGTGTCTGGGATTCATGTGTGGAAGGGAGAGGAAATTGCCCAAATTCCTGAGTCTAGTCTGTTTCCGTGGTAGGAGGTAAGATGCTTGAGCTGAACAGAAAAATGACAGGTCCCCGGAAAAGTGGCCTCAGAATACTGCCAGGCCTCGCTGAGGTTAGCGAGTCCCAAAGCACTCATTTCTACTAATTCTTTAAATACTGGCCCCCTTGTTTTAGTTAACATTGAGCGCCCGAATTGTGTCCCTGTCGAGGTCCCACACAGAGCTAGCAAACTTTGCCAAATTGGGTTTTGGTGGAGGACGTTAACTGCTGCACACGAATGTTACTACCTGTAACCGCCCATAAGATTGATTGGAGTTCTTCCTGTGAGCACGATTAGGATTAGGGCCCTGCATAGGAGGATCCACGAGAAAATGTTCTGGTTTCTGCATCAGAAAGAATTGTGTTTTGCTTGTTTTCTCTGAAAAATGTTTGTTGTTTAAAAACAAAAAACAAGTCATGTGCTGTTTTCTCTCTCCCTTGGCTCAAACTACCTTATGTATGCTTAAGAACCCCCAATGTTCGTCCATCCAGACCTCTAGGCTCTGACATACAGATCCACCTACTGGTTCCCTAGTTATTTTAAACTCAGAGCTGGAACTCTCCAAAAATCAAATCATTTGAACTTAAATTATTCACGATGTAGCTCACGGGAAGTGAGGGAAGTCCTTTACCATCTCCCTTCCTAACCCTGATTCCCTGCTTTTTGGATAGGGTTGTATTCACCCCTGCCTCACTACTCTTCACTGCATCTGCTCCCCAGACTCATGCAGTACATACCTCCTTGGCTGCCTCAGGATAAACACACTTGCTGTTTTCTGGCCTGGTAGCGGCTCTTGCAGAATTGATCACATTTTATGTCTCTACATAGTGCTCTGCCCCGCACTGTGTTCCTTAACTGGCAGGCAGTTCACTGTCCAGTATAAGCTCAAAAATCATTCATAAGATGAACAGATCCTGCATTTGTCTACTTTTAAATACTAGAAGGGAAGAAAGGCCTAACTGATATGCACCATGATATAACCACAAGAAAAGACTGACAGGAAGTGGCAATTTCTAATGTCAGAGGAGACAGGACTCTAGGCAGAATCAGAGTGTCCATGCTCTTTCAAGGAGACAGAGTATGTTATGCGAAATATGCCACTGTTGGCCTAAGAGTTATTTGCAGTTCAAGGCTGCAGCTCCTGTCTAATAGCAGAGCCTCCCTAAATAACTCAAAATCTTAACACAATTGTTTTAAATCTTCCCAGCAAGCAACTCTTAATCTCAAAGATGAGCAGTCTGCCCCACATCCTAGCAGACATTTTCACAACTGCATCTCATCTCCCTTCTATTCTAAGGGCTCATTGATCTTTACCAAAAACAGTCATTTACTTTTCTTTGTGTCTTTTCTCCTTCCCTTTCCACTAAAAGTCAGGAATTCAGACAGCCAGTTTTAACTACTCCTCTGAGTTACTCACCTTGGAGTGCCCCACCCCCACCCCCGCAGGCATGCTCAATGTGGGCATTAATAAGCTAGTGTTTGTTTTTCTCTTGTTAAGCTTTTGTCAGTCTAATTTATAGGGCCTCAAGTGGAGAATTTACAATGGTAGAAGAAAAAAGATTTTCAATAGCTTATATCCTCTGCTGAGGGACCTAATCCTCCAATACCTGACCAAATTGCCTCCAGTTCTTACTTTACCTATAACAAGTGAAACTTAGTCTTAGAGAAAACATAGAGAAAGCAATTCACATTCGAGTGTAAATTGTTTTTTGAGACTGCCGTGTGACTCACATGAGAAATGGTGGAAGGTTGAATCTAATGAGTGGAATGAATAAAAATGGTTACTTTTAAGGGACTAGCAGATGACATAGTGGTTGCATTGTTGGAGTCTCACGTGGTTGACCTTGGTTCTAGAAGGGAATGTGGCCTGACCATCCCTCCAGGGGAGGATTTAAGAACAAAAGAAAAAATAAATAGTTACTTTTAGGTGGGGATGGGCTTTCCTACAACACTTAACCGAACTTTTCTCCTAAAATAAAAGGATTGACAACTTTCTCTAGAAAGTTTGGGAGAAAAGTCTTATTTTATTATTATTATTTTTGGAGAGGTTTATGTTATAGGACGCATGTGCTCACCAGAAAGACAGAGAGAGACAGAGAGACAGAAAGCAAGAAATCACTCCAGGGGGGATGGCCACGCTGCAATCCCTTCTCCATTCCTCGGGGATCGTGGACATGCACACACATGCACCAGACCTGAGTTTAAGCCACCGGGCCCAGGACTCGAATTGCAGTTGACTACATGGGAGCCTAGCAACATAGCCATTAGGCCAACTACTGCTCCCAGGAGAAAAGTCTTATAAGAGACTGTGAGAATCTTCCAACTACAAGTAGCAGAGCATTTAATGCAGGTACTAGTTTCGCCTAGCTTTCTGGACTCTTGAGTCAGGAAGCTAAGTCACATTATGGAAAGATAGGCAGCCACTTTTGGCTGCTGACAAGAGTAAGTTGATTTTAAGAGTTTTCAGAGAATTGGCATTTGCCCTGCAATTCCTGTTCAAATGTGTTCCCAGCCTCTCTTGCCTGCCCTGTCTGCTAACCGCACCCGCTCCATCGGCTTTAGTCACAACAGGCTGCTGAAGGGATCCAGAACACACACTGTAATTCACAGGGTCTTTTACAAGCAGGGGAGGACAGATGTTTGACTGCTTTTTCCTATTTTCCAAAATCCTTTCCAGAGGGATACAGGGAGTCGTGCCCAGAAACATTAACAGACCATTTTGACCGTTGATGACAGGATTCTTCCCCACCGTGCCCCTGGCATGGTATCTTTGTGGTGTATATTAAGCCTCCTTATCTCTGTTAAAGTCCATTCTTTTCTGATCTCAGCAACCTTCCTTTTCCAATCGCCAACCTAAAAACTGTAAACCCACCTACAACCTCCAAGCCCTGACTTCCACATGGCCCACCTTTTTAGGCCAGACCAATGGAAAAGCTCTTTACTAAATTACAAATTTTATCTCTTGCTCTCAAAAGGCATGTTTGAGTATCTTCCATAGAGTCTGGTCCTGCCACAATCCACGTGGTTGACCGTGGTTTGAGTCCTGGGCCTAGGTCACTCACATTCTGCTTAGGGAAAAATCACATTAATTATTATTTTTACAGAGTTGGTTATTTCCATCAACACAAGTTTTTTAGGAGCCCATTTTCTGAGGCTTTTGGTCTATGGAAACAAAAACAAAACCAGGGTTATAGCTTGGTGAGTTAATTACAGTTTAAAATCAGTGCTGTAATTATGGATACAATTATAAGACAATGTATACCTTCATTTGTAAGTTATATAATAAATCTGCATCTGGGGCCAGCAGGTACTGTGGAGATTAGGGAGCTAGATTCCCACATGGGTGACCCTAGTTTGAGTCCTGGACCTGATCGCTTGCTTTCATTCATACTCTCTCTCTAATAAGTACACATGCCCTACAGTAAATTAAAAATAGTAAATAAATGAATAAATAAAATCGTTCTTTTTAAAACATCTGAAATTGAAGCTGCTCACCAATTTGAGGCCTATGCCATGGTCTTTCTGCATTCCCTAAGGTCGCCCCTGTTGGTTCATGCCTTTGCTTTCTACTGTGGGTGAGAGAAAACGTTCTCTCTACCTCTTCATTTCTCATCCCTTATTCCAGATAAAGCACGTGCACACCCATGTGAGAAAGAGATGAGTATTTTCCATAGAGTCTGGTCCTGCTGCAATCCTCTTTCTCCGGTTTTCCAGCCCTGTCAGATCCTGGGCATAATTTCAAACTTACAGGCCAGGGATTCGAACCCAAATCATGTGGGAGCCAGCTTCTCTTGAGCAGACACATACCATGGAGGCACCCT